TTCATTTGTTTCCAGGAAGTTTATAATTTCTTGCTTGATCACATTGGTAACCCATTCATTGTTTAATAACATGCTATTTATCCTCCATGTATTTGAGTGGTCTTTTGAGGTTTTTTGATTGTTGTCGATTTTTAACTTCATGCCATTGTGATCTCAGAAGATGCTTAGTATGCTATCAATCTTCTTGAATTGGTATAGACTTGTTTTGTTCTAACATGTGGTCTATCTTTGAGAATGTTCCATGTGCACTTGAGAAGAATGTATACTCTGTTGCTTTGGGATGAAATGTACTGTAACTATTAGTTAGATCCATCTGATCTAGTGTGTCATTTAAAGCCTCTGTTTCCTTCTTGATTTTTTCCCTTTGGTCTGGACGGTCTACCCAGGAATGTTAGAGGGTTTTAAAGTCCCCTACTATGACTGTATTGCTGTCAATCACTCCCTTAAAGTCCATCAAGAGTTATTTTAAAGTATTTGGCTGCTCCTATCTTGGGTGCGTATCTGTTTACAAGGGTTATATTTTCTTGGTGAATCATTCCCTTTAGTATGATTCTTTCATTTGGGGGTTGTTCTTTGTCTCTCCATTTCTTTGTCTGTTTGTACTTGCTTCTATGTATTAGGTAGAACTCTTATGTCTCCCAGTCTTTGTGACTGGTCTTATGTAGAAAGTGTCTTGAGGGGTCCAGTGGTGCAGTCTCTTTGTTCACCTGAGCTGGATGCTCTAGGAATGCCCCTTGTGTGCATTATTTGGGCTCTTCTGTTGTAATTTGGACTTGATTGTCCATGTCCCATTTGTGGGAGTGATCTCCCCTCTGACTTGCTGACAGTGAGGCTCAACCCCAACATCGTCGTGCCAGCTGTTATATAGGTGCTGACAGAACAGAACAAGACACCACAGGACCAAACCAAAAACACCATCAAAATCAAGCCACACAATGCAACAACAACAACAGGAAAGACTAAGAAGGAAATAGAAGAGAAAATAAAGCAAGGAAAAAATAAAAAGAATACTAAAAGATGCATGACCAAAGACTTAGGGGGGATATAAAGAAAAGTGGAGAAAGAAGAAAAAATGGCTATATAGAAGCAAGGAGGAAACTAAAAGAACTAGTATAGAAAGAAAAAAGAAAGGGAAACAGAAAATAAATGAATAATAATTAACTTAATACATAGTAGTAATGGATATATTAAGATATAGATAGAAAAGTAAAATGGAAAAATGAGGAAAAAAGAGAAAAATAAAATAATAAAAATTAATAATAACAATAAGAAGAGAAAAGGAGAACAGAATCAAAGGAAAAAGGAAAAAAGGGGGGAAAAACAAACAAATAACAACAACAAAAAGCCACACACACACACACACACACACCAAAAGACAAAACCACACATATTCACACACTCGAACACCTTTGGGTCCACTGTTTGTGAGGTTTGCTGGATTTTGCTCTGATGCTGTTGAATCTGGTCCCTGGTGTGTCTATCCTTGGCCTCCCAGGAGCTTCTCTGGTGCAGGTGAATGTGAGTCACTATCCCTTTCTGGCCCTGGGCAACCTGGGGCCTCCCGGGAGCTTCTCTGGTGCAGGTGAATGTGAGTCACTATCCCTTTCTGGCCCTGGGCAACCTGATTGAGGTCCAAAAAGTTGAAGCCCCTGTTAGTCCAGGGACTCCTTAGCCCAGAGGCTGGGTCTGCCTCGAGTCTCACACCTTGATTGTCCCTGTTCTGAGCTGTTCTCCCTCCCCCCACGGAGCTGGGCTCTGCCAGCGTGTCCTGGTCTTGGTCGGGATGGTTTGAACAGACTCGTGTTGGGGGTGGTGCCAGTAGCTTGTAGCGGGGACTTCCTCTCCTTCGAATGCCTCAGCTCTGCCTGGTTTGCTGGCAGCTCCTCTCTGTCACCTGCAGGGGCACAGATTTCCTGCCCTGGACTGTTCCCCTTTGCCTCAGGTCCCTGCAGTCGGGTCAGAAGCAGCTGTTTTGCAGGTGGGAAGGAAGGGACCTCCCCTGTCTGCCAGGTGGGCAGGGATGACCGTCCTTCCTGGATCTACTGTCCAGCCCCTTTCCTGCTCACCAGCATGAGTTCCCCCGAGAAATAGAGGGCCTGCAGATTCAATGCTGGGTGTGTCCTCAGACCCCTCCAGTGGAGGCTGGCCCTGAGCTCCTCTGTGGCCCTTCCCGCAGAGGAGCGTCCCGGGCTGCATGATGGCGGGGTGCTAGCGCTGCTCTACCCAGGGACTTCAGCCCAGGCTCCCACTGCTGCACCCACTCCGCGGTCTCCACAGCCAGTGCCCCGCGCCTCCTCTCTGTCCCCGGCCTCCCATCTCGCCTGCAGATCGGCAGCCTCTTCTGTCTGTCAGGTCCTCAGTTCAGTAGGTCCAGGCCAGGGGCGGCTGCATCCACCTCCCAGCCTTTAGCGCAGCCCCTGCCCTGAGCCCTGGCGGTGGAGCCGAGCAGCTGGGCTCCAGGGCGCGGTGGCAGCGCAGTAGCGGTGGCGAGAGTTTTGCTGGGTTAGTGGTGATTGCACAGCCATGGCACAGAGTCCAGGCTGGGTCCCCGTCCGGTGAGTGGGGTCAGGCTGGGTGCGTACCAGGCACATGGAGTTCCTGCCAGTGTCTGTTGTACGGGGTCTGGGTTGTGATCTCTGTGGGCTCTCGGGGTCCGGGTGGGGTACACATGGGTTTGGGCCCAGGTCACGATAAGCCCAGGTGGTGAGGTGGGGCCCCTAACTGCTGCCACTCCCCACAGCCTCCTCCCAAGAAGGCCCTTGCAAACCCTTCAAGATGGTGTGGTCTCTTAGCCAGCGGTAATCACTGTTAGATGAGGTCCTGAAGGTGGGGCCCCCAGGATGGGGCTAGTGCCCTTATAAGACGAGACACCCGAGAGCTTGCTCCCTCTCTGTCTTTGCCTGTGAGGGCGCAGTGAGAGGTGGCCTCTGCAAGGCAGGGAGAGAGCGCAGACAGCATCCGGCCATGCTGGCACCTGATCATGCCCTCCAGCCCCCACAACTGTGAGACTACGTTTGCTTGGTTTAAGTCACCCAGTTTGTGGCATTTTGTATGGCAGCCTGAGCTGACTGACTGTGTGTTTTTGGCACATGGCTGCCTGTTATTTCCTCTTGTGGCGTGGGGCTTGCACCTTCTGTCCTGGGCCTTTCCCTCCCATGGACCCCCGGGCTGGGGGGGTGCCATCAGTGTGGCACTGGGTAACCTGCACACCCTGTCTGAAATGCCCCTTCTCACTGCTCAGGCTCCTCAAGCAGGGTCCCTGGTTGCTGGGGACTCAGGGACATCGTAGGCGAGGCCCTGCCTCCCACTCCTGGATTCTGCCTGAAGCCTCTTGGGATGATGGTGGGCATCAGAGGTGATACCAGACGGGACATTCCAACCCTGTAGGACCCCCTGAGCTCGGGCTTGGGCTGAGAGGTGTCCACAGCCTTGATGTGCCAGCTCTTGGGCGGGTGCTTGACGTGTTTAGAGCCTCTGTGAGTCACAGCGTGCACCCCTTGGTGGGGCAGAGTCCGGCCTGGTCCTCAGGGTAAACAGGAGACCAGGCTCAGGTGCCTTGTCCAAGGGGACAAGAGCTGGTCAGAGACTAAGGACCAAGTGGAGACTGAGCAGAGCCGGACGAAGGGCAAGCCAGGCCTTGAGTAGAGAAAGGACCTTAGTTGATGTTCACACAACTACTAGTAAAACAGGACCGCCCCCACCCCCACCAGGGAGTCCTGGCATTAAACTTGCTGGATGGTGGGAAGTCAAGGTTGGGGGGACAGGTCAGGGCAGCCCTGCTGGGTATCAGCACTGGCCTGGGGCCATTGCCACAAACAGGAGGGGGCCCAGACCTTGTTCTCATTGGTGGCTGGTTACCCAGTGTGTGTGTGTGTGTGGTGGGGGCAGGCAGGAAACTGGCTTCCTGGAAAGGTCACGCTCAGACTGGTGCACAAGTCTTTGAACTTCCCACACCACTCGCTGCCCCTGGTTAAAGCCTGGAAAGGCCAGGTCAAATGCCAGGGTGGCCGAGAGGGGAGGGACTTCAGCCAGAATGCCCTCTAGTCTAGGGAGTTGCGCAGGCGGAGGTGAGGCCTGAGGAGGGTCACAGTGTGGAGGAGGAGGGTGGGGTGGTCCTTGTCCAGGAGGGCAGGCCCCTGTTACAGGACAAGCAGGGGTGTGGGGTGAGACAAGAGGAGAGACCATGTGAGCCCAGATTGTGCACAGGAGCGTGGCTGATGCCCCAGGAGGAAGCATGAGGCCCTGGGGGTCTGGCTGTGGCTGAGGCCTCGGCACAGGGTGAGAGGATGGTGACAGGCGCAGGGCAAGTGCAGGGGCAGAGGGCCTGGGAGGGGAGCCATGGAGCTCTGAGCTGCTGTCATGGAGGCTTTAAAACCACTTCCCCTCTCTGCCCCTCTGACGCATTTAACAAACAGGACATCCTGAGGACGGAGCGAGGGTGGCCAGTGAGCTTAGGGGAGCACTGTCCATCCCTACTTCCTCTTGGTAGCCAGGGCCAACCGCCGGCCAGCACCACCCCCTTCGGAAGGACTGAGGGAAAACAGTGCTGCTGCTACAAAGTGGAAGGAGGCTCTGGCCAGAATCCAGGAGACCTCTTCGTTCCAGGTGAAATCAGAGGACAGACACCCGCAGGCAGCAAAGGGCTCCCGGATCAGGAACGAAGGTGCGAGTTACCCCACTGGGTTAAATGACCCACCCACCCAGTGGGCGTGTCCTCTGCTGGACAGTGGGCGTGGCTTCTCTCAGAGGAGAGAAGCCGTCCTATGATCAAGGACCGTGGTCTATTATTTTTTCTTCCCTGCTGTCATGTGGATTTTAACATATTTCATTCAATTTTAATTCTCTTTCCTCTCTCTTCCCCCCTCTGTAACACAGGGCAGCAGTGCCCAGAGTTTTGGTCACAGGAGTTCTTTAACACTCTTAAAAACTGTTGAGGGCCTCAATGAGCTTCTGTTTATGTGAGTTATATCAACATTTACCACAGTAGAAATTAAAGCCAATAACTTTTAAAAATGTATTACCTCATTTAAAAACAACCCATTACATATTCACTTTATATAAAATTTAAAATAACCAAATTTTCAAAAACAAAAGCCGTAGGTGGAAGAGTGGCATCGGTCTGCATCGCTGCGAAGCTTTCATGTCTGGCTGATAGACAGGGTTGCACTCTCTTGTCTGCCTGTGTCTTCGTCCTGCTGCAGTATGTTGTATGTTGTCTTGGTTGGAGAATACAAAGCAAGTCAGCTCCTGCCAGAAGTGTAGCTGGGGAGGACTTTGTGGACTCCGGGGGTCCTTGGACCGCACTGGAGGCATGCGGTGGTAGTTGGCTCTAATGCACACATTCTGGAATATAGAGAGAGGACCATGACAAAACCAGAGGAGGAAGACACCTCTGAATGTCCTAGGTTAAGAGTTGGATGAAGTAGTTGATGAAGCAGCTCGGATTGTCTCCCTTCTCCCGTCAGAAGGGACAGGCCTGCTGTGACGCGGGGCCAGTGGTAGCACACTAGGTGGGCCAAGATTTTTGACGTGTGACACGGGAAGAATGTACATCAGACAGCCAGACAGCCAAGGGACTCAGTGTAGCGCACTCCATCATTGTCTGTGGTTACCCAGCATCTAGACACCCCTCCTTTTTGGGCAAATCCTCTGCTGAGCACGTTCCGGCGGAGTCCTGCCTCCTCCTGGAGCTGAAGACGCCAGATCACCTCTCCCCATACTCGGGAAGCTGCAGAATGAACGCATTTCCAAGGCTTCCCAGTCATGTCCCCCTTCCTGGATCCTTAACTTGGCCAGACAACTGAGGAATAACTGGCAGTGGGGGTGACACCGGGAGCACTTACTATTTAGGTGGTGGTGCCATGTGGCATCCTCACCAATGGTCCCTGAGGGACAGCCTCGCCTGGTTTCCTGCGGCATGTCTCTCATCCCTGTGCTTAGCAAGACCCCAGACTTCCTGTCAGTCTGAGCCATGGATCCTCCCGACAGTTTACTTCAGCTGGGCATGCTGTGTGCCATCCAGACCCCTGGGGAGGGCTGGCTGAGGCCTGCCTCCTTCCTCATTTAGGGTGCTGCCCGGCCTGTCCAGACTGCTTCTTCCTAGTTTCCCGGGGCATCTCTGCCCAGCTGGTGTCCCTGTGCCCAGGCTTGCCCTTTCTAAGGCATCCTGCAAGCCCTCCATCCTGCAAGCCCTGGGTACAGTACCGTCATGAAACTGGTGTGCTGCCTCCTGTACCCTTCCAGTCCACAAAGGGGTCTGAATGCAGGGTCTTCCTTATCTCGTTTCAAATCTATCCCCCGTGCCCCACAGCTACTCTTCTAATGATTACAATACGAAACAATTAACTTCCAAAATTATAGAATGCTTGTAAAACAGAGGGGAAAAATCATTCATAACCGACCACAAATTTTCTTTTCCATCTTTAAAACTATCTTGCAACACCTGTGCAGACTGTTACTGTCCCTTGGGTGTGTGTTGGCCCACTCCACTGAGGTTGGTTGGCCTTGGCCTTGTGCTTTGGCCAACAGAGCATGCACACTAGACACACATCACCTGTGAGCAGGGGCTGCATCTTTGCTTGCAGGCTTTGGCTTGGCCTCTTGTGCTTCTGCTATAAGAACATGCCCCAAAGAATGCTACTCCTTTGCCTGGGACCCAGACTAGAAAAAGGGATGCCTTGTGGAGACCTAGGTCAGACCCACAGCCTGTAGTGTAACCGCTGCAGCCAACCTGCAGACCTGAGTGAGAGTTTGCCACTGAGATTTCTGAGGATATTTTCCCGCAAAATATGACTCATACAGTCATAATAATACAAATATAATGAGTACAGGAGAAACCAGTTACCAAATTTGACACACGCTAAATACTGTGAAGAGTCAGAGGTACATGGCAATTAGGTAAATCCCCAGGCACAGCTGAGACTGTTAATTTGCAGACTAAACAACTTTCTATAATCCATCACTCCCAGGTGACTTAATGGTCCTGAAGCAGGAAAGGTCTGACAGGGGGGATGACCCCGCTGGGTGAGAAAGCTTGTAATTACCCTCAGGCACAGGCTCTCCAACACGAAGCCACTTTGGGATAGAGCAGGTAAGGCAGGTCAGGTCAGGAGAGATTGTTCTAGGTCCCAACCAGCCCCTGGCCTGACACTGTGGCCAGGGACTGGGAATCCACTGCTGCCCCAAGTCTGCCCTCCGATCCCTCCAGAAACCTGCTCCTCCGGAAACCTGCTCCTCCGGAATTGGCTTCTGTAGTACCGAGGTCCATGTCGGAGGTAATACTTGGGGATGGAGGGGCAATCAGGGGACACTGGGGTCCTGACAACAAAGATGGGACTGAAGTTGCAGGTGAAGTGAGATCACCCCAAGGGCAGCAGCACCCTTCTGTGCGTTTTGCATACCCTGCTCTTGGCCTATTACCTCCCACAGGCCAGCTGTCCAGCCGCCGTGATGGGCCCTACCTTCTTGTCACTTTTAATTGTATTCTCTGTGCAGGTGGCAGCCAGATTTGAATTGCTCTCCACGGTATCTGCACTTCCTAACACCAGAGTAGGTAGGCAGGTCCTCAATGAATATTTGAAAAAATGGATGAATGAATCCTCGCTTACGAAATGTTAGATCCACTGCTGCTCAGGCCTGCTCCACAGTGATAGCTGGTGTGGACGGACAGCGTGTCATACATGTGGCCTTGGCTCAGTCCCAGCTGAGTGAACTGAGCTGCGGCACCTCAGGCTCTCAGGTCCCTGGGGTCCCAGGGTTGGCTTCTGTAGTGAGCATGTCCCCTCACCAGGTAAGTTATTTACATAATTCACAGGAAGCCAAATTTAGATTTTTACTAAGTTGCTAATAAAAATGAATTTCCTCCAGTCTTCTCCCCAGTAAATATTATCAATACTTATTTTTATCTTAACCTCCTTCTGAAAGTATTTACTCGTTCTCAGTCAGAAGAACATTACTTTCCCAGGATCTGGCTTTTGCCTTCTGATTCTCTGGCACCTCACCAGCACTTACAGAAATAGTATTCTGTCTTCAAACCTGAAAAATTATTTCCCTGTTGCTGACAGATCAAAAAACGTGGACCTTAAAATAATACTGTGATCCTGTTGGCCATTTCTGGTTAAAGCCACTGTCTCAAGCTTCCAATGACATGCAATACTTTATATTATGGTCAATTAATACTGTAAAATTCTTGGAAATGGAGCAACCACTTGCTTACTTCAGGCGTTTCTGAACAGATGTTACTACCTGTGTGGGAAAATTCAAGGTGCTAATTAAGTGTCACTTTATGATCTGGTACCAAAGGATGGTGGCTCCTTCTTCTGAGAGAGAACTGAAAACTGTGCAGATTGGGTCACCTCACACCTGAGCATTAAGATCCTTGGGATTTTAAACCCCCATATCCATGCCTAGTACTTTGATAGCTCCTACATTGGGTACATATGAATGGTTTAAGCAATCTTTAAGAATATCGCAATAGACATGTATCTTCAAATATAAACTTAAAAAATACTTTAACATAATACTTGTTGTACTGCATAGAACTAGAAATCAACATATTACAGTGCTAAAATAGTCATATAAATATCATATATGCATGGACTCACTGCATTAAAATATCTCACCTAGTAGGTTATCAAAGACTAGTATCAGTAAAGCCCAAAGAAAAACGATTTTAACAGTAGGAACACTAAAAATAACAACTACGAAGTTTATAAACAGGTAATGGGAGAGAGAAGTCTTTACATTTGCTTTCAATTATGTCACAACAGGCACAATCTGAAATACAATTTTAGGCTAGCAGTGTATAAAAATACTCCTTATAACAATACTTTTGATAGGTGTAGTACCACTTTTAAAAGCCTTAGCTGTGTAATTATTCCATTTGAGGACCTACTAAAACAATTTAACTTACTGCTCCCAGTTAGCTCTTGAAGCACCAATCTGGGAAGCAAGTTTTCCCACACGTCACACACCAAGCACATCGCCATATATTCACATAACCCCCTACCCATGGCATACACTGACGAGTCACCGATAGGCTCAATCTCCAAGGCAGGAGACGACGGTGTTTGGAGCCTGTTTTCAGTTCTAGGATCGGGATGGATGAAAAAGAGGCAAAAGTAAGTAGACTCTGGGTGTGTTATGTATGGTTTCTACTTATTTAGGGGCACTCCCACAGATGAGTTTAATCTGGCATATCAATATTTAACTTGGGAGGTGGGGGAACATACTTTCCAGGGCTCTGGGTTATAACTACCCTGGCTTTCTTCCCAAATATTGGAGCAATTTTAGGCGCATCTGGAACCGATGTTTCTTCAGTATCTTCACTGTCTTCATGATGCAGATCATAGGAAATGTTCCCGTATTCTCTCAAAAACGGGAAAATTTCAAGCAGAAACTGACAGAAATCTCTGCGAATACCAAACCACCAGTGGTTGCCCCCTTTTCGCCGAAAGGTGGTGACCATCAGAGTGATTAAGGAAAGCCAGAGGGGGACGAAGATGGAGATGTAGGAGAACGTATTGTGGCCATCCAGTCTGTGAACCAGCAGGACCTCAAAGGTGAGCAGGGGCACGACGATGGTGATCCAGCTGATGGCCATGGTCACGTGCGTTCTCCGCTGCTCGGCCACCACGTCCAGGGACCGCAGGAACAGGAGGGACCAGACGATGTAATAGAGGACGACCAGGCAGAGGAAGGACATGAGGATCCAGAGGGGCACGAAGACCACCAGCCACGGCCAGTGGATGATCCTGTCCAGCCGCAGGGCGATGAAGATGAACTGCAGGATGTTGACGGAGCACAGGATCTCCAGCTCCAGGGACCGATCGTGTCGGAAGCCCCACACGCAGGCTGCCACGGACACGGGGGAGACGAAGAAGAGCGGCATGAAGACCAGCAGCCAGAAGTGGGTCCCCCGCTCCACCCGGTCGCAGACCAGGACTTCGAACATGAGCAGCAGCAGGTGGATGCCCACGGCGATCAGCATGGCCTTGAACTCCACGCAGGTCTCGCCCTCGGTGCGGTAGCGAGGGTTTCGAGCCCAAACGCCCGCACCCACGGAGGCGCCCGCCATGACCAGGAGCTTCCACAGCCAGATGGGGGCGAAGACGGCCCAGTAGCTCCACTGGATGACGCCATCCAGGCGGAGGGGCAGCAGCACCGAGAAGAGCAGCAGGCAGGCGTAGATGAGGAACTTACTCGGGTTGAAGTCCTGGAACAGGCCCCGGGGGTTCATGGCGAGGCCCCTGCTCGCTCCCGGGCCTGCCGCTCTGCCCCGCTCGGCAGGCGCTTAGTCTCCAACGCTCCC